ATTATTGTTATTCTTAATGTTATTGTTATTGTTATTATTATTATTATTATTGTTATTATTAGTATTATTATTATTATTATTATTATTATTATTATTATTATTGTTTTTATTGTTATTGTTATTGTTATTGTTATTGTTATTGTTATTGTTATTGTTATTGTTATTGTTATTGTTATTCTTATTTTTATTATTATTGTTATTGTTATTATTATTATTTTTGTTACTACACTACGCATCATTGGGAGATTCTAAATTTGTTTAAATACTTGGCGAAATTCACATCGATCAAATGGCTAGATCAACAGGGCCTCTTTTACCCTTGGCAGTGGAGCGCACCCAAGAGCCACACGTGCAGAGATAAAGCTGACCAAGGAAGTACATGCAGAAACAGCGTAAGTCTTATCTACCTTGACGACAAGAATACGCGCGAGGATGTCTCGTGCAAGGAAGCGTGTGCAGGCAAGGCGCGGGCACAGTATGCACCTAAGCGATCAGACGCTGTAGGCGAAACCATAGCAAAAAACACTTCATCGTCAGCACTTCATCATTAGCACTTCATAGTCAGGACTTCATCATTTGCACTTGTCTAGATGCATTCATCGCAGTTAGCCGTCTAGATCAGTTCTTTTCAATCTGTCGTTAACTTCAGTTCTTTGCAATCTGTCGTTAACATCAGTTCTTCACAATCAGTCGTTAAGTTCAATTCGTTGCAGTCGGTCGCTAAGAACAGTTCCTTACAATTAGCAATTACGATTCTTAAGTCTTATAATCTTGTTATTCATTGTAAATTTCCATCACCGATTTTTTACTATATAAATCAATTCGTAAAAAAGAAAAAAATCGTGTCGAATACTGAGCATTGTTTCGCCCTATTATTCCTCAGCTATCGTTAACAAAAGGGAACCAATTCAAGGATCAGTAGCAGAGTCAAGCACCCACGAAAGTGATATAGACGCGAGAAACGATATTTGGAGCCTCTCTCATCATTTCATTGTATAAGTAAGTCAAAAGTAAATCTTTCCTGGCGCAGTTTTACTGTCCTATTGTGAAGGAAAAAGAGGTAAAGGGCCCTCACTCTCGTGTAAGATACCGAAAGGGTTGACCGAAAAAGATGCACGTGATTAGGTTGGTATAATTGGCGGGCTGCAGGGACTTCGATTGCTCGACAGCCATTCACAACCCAACTGTTGACGTCATATTATAATATAAATAAAAATTTGGTGGCAGTGGTGGGATACCCTTTTAGTTCTCGAAAAGATTGGTTGAAAATATTTTCAATTCTTTTTTGTTGTTTTCTCTACTTTTCCTTCAGAAGCAAGCAAAATGACTTCGCCACGTGGATCTCCTTTAACGGATGTAAACCTTACCGAAAAAGAGAATAGAGCATACGAAAGCGCGTTATTTCATCGCGAACAAAGCCTTCAAGATGTTATGGGTGAAATTTCTTCCTTCAGGGAACAGTTAGCCAATATGAAAAGGCATATCGATCAACAGAATACTACTTTAGATAGAAAAAGAATAGAACAACTACTAATTCGCCGCGAACAAAATTTAGATAAACGGGATAGATTTTTAATTATCGACGAACCACACGACGGTAACCACTCTTCTAGACATAACCCAATCTGTTGCGAAGACTGTACTTGCACTTCCAGAAGCGATTCACATTTGCAATTCGGTATCGATAACCTCGGGCGAGAACTCGACGAATTGAAAAGAAAATGAAAAGGAAATGAATCGGGAAGTAGGCAACATTTTCAATATAGACCGATTGCTGCACCTAGACTGAACATGCCACAGCTCAAATTGAAAGACATAACGGAAGGCATACCTAACTTCGACGGCCACAATATGCCAGTTCTTCGCTTTATGCGCGCATGTAAACGAGCCATGGAACTCTTCGGAGAGATCCCTTCAGCCGAAGCTAAGCAGGTTCTAGTACGGACTATTCATACTAAATTAGAAAAGCACGCTTACTTGGTCGTAAAAGAAGAAAAGATTACCATAGCAGAAGAACTAATAAAGACCTTAAAGGCAATGTTTCAACCCTCGAGGTCTGTGAATTACTACAGAGGCTTACTCAGTAGCATGTATAAGAAATCGAGCGAATACGTTGTAGATCACATAGGTAGGATACGCAATTTGAGACAGGCCATCATGGATGGATAGTCAAAACCGCATAATGGAATCCCTTCCGAGAAAAAGTATAAAAAGTCGAGATATTAGACAGTTTCATAAACAGGTTACCGCCGAAACTTAAGATCCCGTTTATTATGGAGAGACGCTACGATTTCATTTCCTCATCTATCGTTCTCATCCATTTAGCTCGAGTGTTCGCGCGAGATCAGGAAAGGTCTAAATTCCCTGATAGGAATAAGACTCTAGTCGTGCGAACGATAGCTGTCGAAAAATCGAAATGTGAGTCGTGCGGAAAAAGGAGACATCAGACCGCGAAATACTGGTCCACCTCGCGGCCAACTACGTATGCGAAAGTAGCAACTAGTCCTCCTCCACGCGCAAGAGAATCACCGCGACTCGATCGCCAGAAGAAAAGGCTATCAACATCTCTCAAATGGAAAAATGTTAAGATAGAGTTCAAAAGGAACGTGTCGCGCCCCGCTAGCCTGAATGTTAGGATAAAATACGACTATTTTAACCGAACAGGACACTTGGCAGACGAATGCTGGAAAAGGGCATTCGACGATAGCTACCGAAATTTAGGCACGTCCACGTTGGGAAACACCGAAGACGGCCTAACCCGCAACAATGTGGGCGGACCCGCGATCAAGTACATTCATCCGAAACAAGCCACGATAGCAACGATACGTAAATTATTGCCCATCGGCCAAAACTCCTTCGATATTTCTTAACTCGGCTATTTTCCGCGGACAAAACAAATTTATGATAGATGCAGGTTCAGAAGTGAACATTATCAAAGCAAACACTATTAGGAACGGAATGGCAGTAAATGGGGAGGAAGCTATAAGAATTAGTGGAATAACTAGCAATCACATAACTATACAAGGCTCTATTATAATAAATCTTCTCAATAAATCCATAAATTTTCAAGTAGCGGACCCAGTCTTTCCTATCGATTAGGACGGTATATTAGGCAGTGGATTCCTTGGAGAAATTGGCGTGAACGTAAATTACTCCGAAGAATCATTAGAGTTAACCGATAGGGAAATACCGTTCATAGATCGGGAAGTAATTCTCGCTCCCGCGTGGTTAAACACAATATTTCGTTGTCCCATCGAGAATGATGAAGTCAAAAAGGGTTACGTAGCCAGACTCGAAATTCTCCCGGGTATATTTATAGGAGACGCGTTAGTCAACAATAACCGAGGGCAGGCGTGTCTCAAGGTCATTAATACTACGGAAAGAGACTTCGATATGATAGTTCCCACTTTAAAACTTTGAGATCCACGCCCTAAGTAAGGCCAAATGGTTTGAGGAAGTAGAGATTCAGGAAAAGGATGTCCGATTGCATTAATTAGGGCAATAACTGCCGTTTCCGTACTTACCAAAAATACAGGTCAAATAGAAAAGAAAATACATAAACCTAAGAGTTAGGATAGAATAGAGCAGGTGCGATCTTTTCTACGACTCGAACACCTAAATAAAGAGGAAAGAGAAAGCATAGAAAGACTACTAGCTATCAGCACGGAAAGTTTTCACTTGCCTGGAGAATCGTTAGAAAGCACCCAAATAATAACATACCGAATTATAACCACGGACGAGATTTCGATACACACTAAACAATATAGATTTCCGCCTATTCACGAAGAAGAAATTGATAACCAAACGACAGAACTAAATAACGATTATGGCAGATAAAATAATCCAGCCATCAGTTTTGCCGTACAATTTACGTATCTGTGTAATTCCCGAGAAAGCAGATTCAAACGAAAACCCAAAGTGGCGAGTAGTATTAGATTATAGAGGGTTGAACGAGAAAATGGTAGGAGATGCGTAACCACTACCTAATATTACAGAAATCTTAGATTAGATAGGATCTGCAAAGTAATTCTCGATTTTCGATCTTAAGTTGGGCTTTCAACAGATCGAAATGCATCTAGAAAATAGGAAAATGACGTAATTATCGACGCCACATTTGTGGATGACGTGGTCTTGTACGCGAGATCGTTTCGGGAACACGAAATTAAATTCAAAAAGTTAATAGAGCAGTTGAGAATAGTCAACTTAAAATTACAGCCAGATTAATGCGAATTTCTGAAAAGAGAGGTTGTATATGCCAGACCCCAAAAAGCTCAAAGCAGTCAAAGAGTTCCCGTGACTGCGAAACATTAAGAACATTCACCACTTTTTAGGCCTTGCTGGATACTATCGAAGATTTATCCCAGCTTTTTTCAAATTAGCTTACTTTTACTTTTTCCACTTACTGGCCTGCTAAAAAAATGTCATAACCTTCGTATGGAATCAAATACTGGATATCGCATTTACATCCTGCCAGGAGCTTGGGTTAGGCAACCTGGCCCCAGCTCTGGATAATGCGTCAGGAAACACATCGCAGGTAGGCGATCTGGCCTGTGGTGTATCTAATGCGTCAGGAAGTGTAGGTAGAGATGAGTGCCACTTGTAGGAGTGGCAAAAGGCTGCCAGGGCCGCTGAGGGCATACGGTTCTCCGGCCTGACCATAAGAAGGGAGACACGGAAGGCTAAGCGTGCGAGGCCCGTGGTGTACTCGTCCGAGGAGGATGAGTCGGTTGTAGACTGGCCCGTGCTGGGTGAGGGAAGACCAGCGGATACCCCTGCCTTGTCTCAGGTGGAGACTGGTATGGTGATCGATACGCTGAAAGAAGCCTCCATAGAAATGGTTGAAATGTCGCAACCTCAAGGGGGACATTTCGGGGGTCATGAAACGCACCTATAGAATAACTATGGAGGGGCTCAAGACCCTAAGAGTAAGGCTCCAAACGCGGGGAGATGATCCTCCGTCAGCGAAGGAGACAATTGAGCAGCTGAAGGCTGAATGAGCCATGGAGCTGCGCAATAAGGAAATCTCGAAGGAGAACATCCCCCTCAAGAGGGTAATTAGGAAGAGGGAGACTCCCTTGGCTGCGAAAACCAAGGAAAGGACCACGGACGCAAGCCACTCAGACGGGTCGGTGAAGGCACTGGCGGAGGCTGTCCGCAGTGTACAGCAACAGCTGCAGCAAGTACAGCAGCAGCAGCAGCAACAGCTACAGCAAGTACTGTAACAGCTGCACCAGTAACAACAGCCGCAACAACAGCGGCATCAGACATTGAGTGGAGCAGCGACTGAGGCTAGTGGACCACACAAGGGCCCCACACTCCGTGCTGAGTCCACTAGACCCGCTGCACAGCAGGTAAGTATAGGTAAGATACTAACCCCGCAGGATGATTTTGTGCAGGTGCTTGGCCGAAAGAGGAGGCGGATCCAGAGGAGAGAAGCAAATGCACTCTCCCTGGCTACGTCAAAGGATAAAGTCAACGACCCTCAACCCTTGCGGGGACAGGCGCCCCCTAGGAAAAGAAGGAAGGGGAGGAGCCGTGCGCAACGACGGAAGAAGAAGATGCAAAGGGAAAGAGAAGTGGCTGCAATTTCCCTATCCTGTACCGAGGAGACGACGTACAGGGATGCACTCGTGCGGGCCACGGAAGGGATCATCCTCAAAGACCTGGGAATCGGCACCATGTCCTGTAGGAGAGGACTCACGAGTGCCTTTATATGCCAGGGACGAGGCAAAGGGGCAAATGCGAAGGCCGAACCGAGTGGCGGAGGCCTTAAGGAATGCTGTCCCAGGAGCAAAAATCACCCGCCCCCTGCGCACAAGCACCATAAGGTTGATGGGACTGGACGCGTACGCTAATGGTACCGTCATAAGGAACGCACTTCTGGAGGTGCGGTCTGGAACAGACCCCAACCTCATTAAGGTTGGAGAGATCAGGATTGGCAGGAGCAGACTAGGCGAGGCCACTGTCACGGCTCCGATGCCTGTTATCCGAGCGGCCCTGGAAAGGGGCAGAATAGACGTGGGACTTACAAAAGTGAGGGTGCATGAACTTAGACGGTGTCTAAGTTCGTGGCGGCGCCTCACATACCACCGGTGCCTTGCGCGAGGACATGTCGTGGCAACGTGCCCGGCCACAAAATTCAGGACAGACCTTTGTTACATTTGTGGGAAACCGGGCCACGTGGCCAAAGCATGTACGGACAAGATGGCGTGCCCGGTTTGCGCAGATGCCGGCCGGAAGCAGACTAACCACCGAGCCGGTTCCTGGGAGTGCCCGGTTGTGCCTCCCAAAAAATGGGTGTACAAGGTGTTCGTGAGGGCACCAAATGTTGGTCCGGAAACAACAACGACAAACCGAAAAGACCCGCATAAGGTCGCTGAAAAAACTGCAAAGACAGTGAAAGTGCCCCAGAAGAGAAGTGTACAGGAAGACATGGAGGTGGAACAAGGAGTACCGGGCACCTCAATAGGGGTAGAGGCAGCGGAGGGTCCATAGACTATGTTCTCTGCTGTTCTACAAATTAATATGAACCACGCGCGCCGTGCACAGAACTTGCTGGCACAGCGCATGCGCGAGGACAGAATGGAGCTGGCGATCATTGCGGAACCATGGTGGGTTCCTCCAGGGGAGGGGAGGTGGTTCTCGTCCCTAGAAGGGACTTCATTCTCCGCGGTGCTTGTGGGCGAGAGTAGAAGACCCTGTAGCCTGGTGCGTCGGGGCCTTTTTTACGTAGCCGTTAAATGGGGGGACTCGCTGGTAGTTTCGGTCTACTTTCCTCCCAGCGAGAACATGATCATGTTTAGTAGACTCCTTGATGAGCTTGAAGAGCTCTTAGGAACATTCCCCGCTCTCCCAGCGCTGGTAGTTGGCGATTTTAATGCCCGATCCAGCAGATGGGACCCGGAAGGCAGGAGTAACCGGAGGGGTGAGTTGCTCTGCGTCTGGGCTAACAGAATGGACCTGGGTCTGCTGAACCGAGTTGGCCGTCCCACGTGCGTTCGACCACAGGGATCGAGCGTTATAGATCTAACGTGGGGCACGTCGGCAGCTGGCGTCCGCCTCTCGGACTGGAAGGTGGATGAGGCTGAGTCCCTGTCGGATCACCTTTATATTGGGTATAGCTACAGGTACGCGGCTGCAGGGGTCCGAAATTCTCGCCTGCAAGATAAAAAGCTTCCTCGCTGGAAGGTTGACTCCCTGGATGAGGACTACTTGGCTGCGGCCCTCATCTCAGGGGAGTGGACGGGTGGAATTAGGTGCGGGAGGAGTGCGGCCGGTACGGACTGTGTGGACAAGATGGTGATGTGGGAACAGTCTACACTGAAGCAAGCGTACGACATGGCCATGTCCCGGGTGAGGGGACAACCGCGGTAGGAAAAGTACTTACTGGTGGTCGGACGAATTAACGAACCTTAGGACCGTTGCGACGGCCACCGTTAGGATACTTTCTAGGGCCAGGAAAAAGAAGAACAGTGAGGAAATAGTGCGGTGCCTGGACGCTCGAAGGGACGCAAGGAGGGCACTGACTAGGACTATTAAGGTAGCCAAGAAGAACTCATGGAGGGACCTGCTGGACTCCATAGAGGAGGATCCATGGGGCAGACCCTACAGACTGGTCTTGGGGAAACTAAGGCCTTATGCCCTACCAGTAACCGAAACCATGGAGAAGGAAGTACTGGAGAACATCCTCTGTGAGTTATTCCCAGGAGGACTGGGAACTGACGAGCCGCAGGAACATACGCTTTCGGAGGTAACTATCTCTGAGGAGGAGGTCTTGGCGGCCGCCCGGAAAGGAAAAGGAAGAAAGTCTCCTGGACTGGATGGAATACCGGGTGTGGTTGTGCGTGCTGCGTCGACACACTGTGGAAAAGGGTTGGCGCAGTGCTTCTCCGCATGCTTGAGGAAAGGAAAGTTCCCGACAGCGTGGAAGATAGCGAGGCTCGTCCTGATCAAAAAGAAAAGAGACGCGCCCCCGGACTTACCGGGATCATATAGACCCATATGCGTGATTGGCGAACGGGGGAAACTATTCGAGCGGGTAGTTGTTGGCCAGATCAAGCACTATTTAAAGAAGACTCGGACCCTGTCGCCATCACAATATAGGTTTTGGTCTGGAAGATCCACCGTGGATGCCGTCCTCGATGTTAAAAACTTCGTGGAGGCATCGACGCGGGTCAGGAAGGTGATTATCCTGGTGAGTCTGGATATCTCGAACGCCTTCAACTCCTTGCCCTGGACCGTTATCGTTAGGGCGATGGAGCGTGAAAATTTTCCACGCTACCTGGTGAACATTATCAGGAGCTACCTGGACAAACGCGTCATAGCATATACGGACAAGTATGGACGCGCTGTGGAAAGACACGTGTATTGTGGGATCCCACAGGGATCCGTTTTGGGCCCTACGTTGTGGAACATTGCGTATGACAGTGTCCACCGAACCCCGATGCCAGGTGACTCCCATGTCGTCTGCTATGCGGACGACACGGCCATCCTGTCATGGGGATGGGACCTGTCTCAGACCATCATGAACGCCGAGCGGGACCTGGAAGTCCTGGTAAGGGAGATCGAGGGATTGGGCCTTAAAGTGGCGCCGCAAAAGACGGAGACCATGGCTTTCCCTGCCTCTGCCTTCTGCAGACGCAGGAATGTCCCACCCCCTAACATTTGCCTTAGAGGGGTTCGCGTAGAGATCAGAACCAGTGTCAAATACCTGGGCCTTGTGATAGACTCAAGGATGTCGTTCAGGCTCCACATTGAGGCCGTAAATCCTAAAGCCGAAGGTATCCTCCGTTACCTTAGAAGGCTCCTTCCGAACCTTCACGGACCGGTGGAGAGGAAGCGGCGCCTCTACGGCGGCGTGATCTACTCGGTGCTTCTATATGTGGCGCCGGTGTGGTGGCGCGCCGTCGTGGAGGACATGAAGATCGGGCGGGTTGTTCGGAGCCTTCAAAGGAAGGTGGCGATTCGGGTGTGTTGTGCCTATAGGACGGTCTCCTTCCATGCCGCTATGATGATTGCGGGGATTATTCCTCTCGCTCATTTAGCACCCCAGCTGGCGGGGACGTATGCGGCTGTTAGAGGCGCGGAGGAACCTGTTCCCTTGCGTGCTAAGACTGTATTGGGTGCTCTTGCCAGAAGGAGGGCAATAGAAGCATGGAAGGCTGAGGAACTAGAGCTCGTAGGGGCACGAGAGGCAACGGGAGTGTGCACGAGGGCGGCCATTGCCGAATGGTTGGCTGAGTGGATTGGAAGGCCGTTCTCTATCGGAACGACATTTCACAACACACAGCTGATGACCGGCCATGGTTGTTTCTCGGCGTATTTAAATGAAATAAAGAAAATTCCCTCCCCACGTTGTTTCCACTGCGAGGGGAGTGAGGACACGGCGGAACACACCCTGATTGACTGCCCGGCGTGGACAGATGTTAGGAATGAGTTGATCGATGCGATGGGGGAAGGGCAGCTAACCTTTCCCATGATAGTCAGGGTTTCCCCGACTGTCCCGGGAGGATGGGCGGCCTTTCAGACTTTCGCTGAACGCGTCATGCGTGCAAAGGAGGACGCTGAGAGGCGCAGGGAACGGTTGCGAGGAGAAGAAGTATGTGTGAGTGAGCGTGCGGGTGGGTACGTGGATGGGGATGCGAACGATAGGCCGCATAGGAGAATAGCTCTAGTGCGGCCACCTCGGGCAAGGCTCCGAGCAGCTCAGGCCTGGCTCAAGCGTCGCCTCTTTTTAGACGTTAGTGCGTGTATATGAAGATGAATGGGCCTGGTCAGAGAACCATGGGGTGGAAATCGGGCGAATATGTATATAGTCAGGGAGTATACCCGGGTCTCCAGGGGCTCGTGGGTCCCTGTCGAGTGTGCCGTATTGGTGTAAATGTTGATGAATGATTGAATGAGAGCAAGGCAAACACCGGCCTGGCTCACCGAGGAGGAGTGTTAGGTGAATCTGTAATACGCATATTCGTGATCTCGCCCACTCTCCTTTCTCCTCAGCGTGTTAGTTATAAGGATCGGGAGGTTTTTTAGTCGGTAGGCGATCCGAACCTGGGGGCATTCCCAGACGGGCTGAATCCGATATTCCCCTGAGTACCGGGCTCAGGTGCCTATGAAGGTTTTTCCTCCTGACGAAACAAAAAAAAAGGGTTGCGTCAAGGTTACGTCGGGATATGCAATCGGCGCCGTATTGAGTCAGGGCCCTAATTGAGTAAAGATCTTTCAATCTCGTATTGCTCAAGGTTGTTGAACAAAGCTGAAAGGATCTGTTCAACAATCGAAAAAGAGCTATTAGCTATAATTTACACAATGCATTATTTCCGCCCTTATCCATATGGATGAGAATTTAATTTAATAACCGACCATAAACCCTTAGTGTGGATAAAATCGGTTAAAGATCGGCTAACAAAATGGGCTTTAAAACTAGCTGAGTACAGTTTCAAAATCATTTATAAAGCAGAAACCGCTAACGCTCATGCGGACGCACTATCTAGGAATCCTTTCGAAGCTAAACAGATTCGGCCCATTCGTCCGACGAATGAGACATACTCCGACGAATACTCATATTCAAGTAGGCCGGGAACGAGCGAACAAATAGAAAATTTGAGAGAAGAATCGCCAATAGGAACTTCGACGTCATTAGATACGCATAAAGCGTCGAACAGTGTTTGAAATATCCCTCTCAACCCTAATCAAGGGGATGACGATTCAGATGCTAGTTAGGAAAAATGTTCAATCTTGCCTCGTGTCTGTACGTTATGCCGCCTCATTTAGAGGAAACGTATAGTGAGTCACAAAATTTAATAGAATCACGCGACCGATTTTCTTTCAAAAAAGAATTTAGCTATCTGCATCA